CATAACAAGAAACATATTAAGCGATAATTATTTTGTATTTCAAAAATAGTTTTCTGAATAAAATTTTATTAATAAAAATATTTAATTTTTATGTGGATTTTTTGCCCAATCTTTCCTTTCGTTTCTTCACATGTTTTGGTAATTTATTCTTACGTTTTTCTCTCTTCTCTTCTTTTAAAGCGTTTTTTCTTAACTATTAATGGAAATGGAATTATAAACTCAATAATACTTTTAAAAATATCATTTAAACCTTTTTCTCTTCTGTGGTCTCATCTTTAGGTCGCGACGAATGAACATAACCTTTGTTTTCATTTGATTCTTGCGATTGAGAGCTCTTATCGTCGTCTGAACTGTCGTCTGATTCTTCATTTTTATTATCAAGTATTGAAGGGATAAGAGTCGGTCCCTTCAGGTCATCCCTCAAACCTGTTATCGTTTTGTAAAATACCTCTTTCTTGTCCTCTTTGGAGACATCCTTCTCATAATTGGCCACTTCTTGCAGTCGTTGCGGAATATATACCTTTTTAAACACTTCTTCGTCCACTTTGTGCTGTTCTTCTGATTCTGTATCAGTTCTATTGGCGGCTATTTGTTGACACTTTTCCAAATATGTGTCAATATTTTCACTGTTAATATTGGGATCAGTAATGAAGTCAAACAACTCTCTCGTAGTCATCGTTGGGACGGATTTTTTGCGAAAGAATTCGTTAACATTCGTGCAGTCCTTCCGGAGAAAGTCCAAAGCCATCGGATGGTCTGATTCCACAGACTGGGAGACATCGATCACATATAGCATCGACTCGTTGTACAGTAGATTGAATTCACTTAAGTCCGCGTGAACTAAACGGCACTCATTGAACATCCGTCTCATTATAACAATGCATTCGTAATACAATTGTCTGGCCTTTGATTCGCTTAAGTCCACGTCTTTGAGAAGTGGAGCCGGCAGTCCATTAGTGCCGATAAAGTCCATCACAAGAACGTGAGCGCGAAGACAGTAAGGCTGCGGACAATTGATGCCCGACTGGTATATACGCGAGAGATTTCGCATCTCCTTCTCAGCCCAAGTTCTGACCATTTTTCGGGGATTGTGTCGACAATAGCCGTATCGGAAGCGGAACTCTCCGCTCACGTATTTGTCTCTGTCTTTGAACGTAAGAATAGATGTCTTATATATTTTGACGGCTTTGTCGACGCCGTCGCGACTCGTGGCGTGATATACATTGGCCTCTTTGCCGGTACTGATCACACCATTGATTTGTTCAATGAGGTGGCGATTAATCAATTTAAACAAAATAATCCGTGTCTTCGGATCCAAGACCTGTTCTTGAGTCGAACGATCAGATTTGTCTTTAACTCGTTTCCTCTCGCCATCCAATCGACGGTCCGTTTCGTTCAATATATTCAATGTTTTCAAAGGAATCCAATATTTGTCACAATTTATGCGATTCTCGTATTTCGACAATCGTTTGGTATTTGTCTCAAACTTATTGCCGCAATAATCGCCTCTCATATCCATTCCCACGCCTTCCTCTATGTATTCACTTTCATCCAAATCATCGCTTTCTTCGGCCTCCCATTCGTCATCATTAACACCATTAATCTTCAGCTGCGATATGGGATCAGTTATACCATTCACTGAGTTATCGTCCGCGTCATCAAACTGGCCGTCCATATGGTGTGACATGTCTTATGTATGATTGTAGTGATTATCAATTGGTTGTTGGGATCAGTTGTTTACTGTCTTCACACGTGTGGCAAACGTTGCCTTTAAAGCACTTCTTCATAACAATCACACGTGAAATGCATTTCATATAACAATTCAATCAATAGATGTCTCGACAATCACTTCATTTGTCCATTCAATCGGCTCTTCTATCACTTCCATCGCTTCCATGACTCAAGTCTTTTGCAAATATCAACCAATGGGTGACTGCAATGACCAACACATGAGTGTATCACATGATTGTCACCACAATCTCTTCCAATGTCTTCAATAAGCGCTCATTGCATGTAATAATAGTCAACAAATTGGACACAAATTCCCAAAACACTAAAACTTTGGGCAAAATTCAGTTTTCATAGGAAATAATGCTTAAAATCGGGAAAATGCCATAAAATGTGCCAAACATTGGGAGTATAGCCAATGGTATAGCTATTGGACGTCTGTATGGATACGTCACTGGAATGGGAGTAGACCTCAAAAATGGGAATATTTAGTGCAATGATTGCATTGAATATAAGATACGCTTTTTAGTGAACAAACTGTTCAATAGATTCGCACAGTATTTGGTTTATGACAGGAATCAGTGACTGAAATATAGCGCGCTTTACAGTCTGTAATACAGTCTGTATTACTGTTGACCACACTTTCAATTGCTATTCAATTGTGTGACTAATTAAAGCGCAAACTAATGCCTAAACCATTGATTTGTTGCCAATCATTGCCGTAAATGCGAACCAATTATGTGTTTGTCGTCTAAATTGATAGCATTTATCATTGTTTCCATTAATAATAACTGGATTTCAATCTTAACGTTGTTTTCATTAATTGTTTGCAATTCATTGCAATCATTGGGTGAGTCCTTGTCTTTGCAATCATTATTATTGTTGTCAAACACTGCAAACATAATCGTTATCCATGTCTATAGTGGACAGTATAGTGGATGTTGTCTTACTGTATATGCAAACCATGTAAACCCATATTCTATAAGCATCTCTCTCTCTCTCTCTCTCTCTCTCTCTCTCTCCTCCCTCTCGTCACTATTTGTGTGCCATTTGTTGGCACAGTATGTGAGAGAGTATTATGTGTTAAATGATTACATATTGTGTTATAATTTATAAAAAGACTGAATATTATGTCAAAGAATTATATGAAGTGATAATAAATACAAGAATATTAGAGTCATTACAAGTGAATAGGAATAGCATTGAGATTATTATTTCCATAAATCGATGCATTTGTATGAGTCCTTCAAAACAATACACAAATACATTGAAAGCATTGTTTTAAATGTTTTTTTGATAACATTGTTGATAGAAATCGAGTCGATATGAGAGTTGTCTCAATTCAATGCTATATTTGAAATATAGTTATTATTTATATGTGAAATGAGAGCTAAAAGGTATCTATTATTCTTCAAATTCTGCTTATTATTGAATGCATTGCAATGACATGTGAGCGCACAGACAGACCAATGTATAGTATATTTAGGGTTATATTATTCGTCATTCATTCTGATGTCTGCAATAGATTTGTGGCAAAAATGTCAAGAATTTCATCAAAATGTTTGATTTTTTTGTTGGAAAAAATATTTGTTTTCAATACAAACAATTGACAAATAAAGTTGTATAATAAATCATACAATAATACAATAATAGTTAGTAAACGATGTAATTAATAAACAAATAGCCGTAAAGACTATATTTGGTATGAGTTTTGGTCATTAATAAGTGGATACAGAATATATTGTATTTACAAACGAAGGATATCCTGAATATCAATTGCAATCATATTATGTGTTTTTTGGGAGTTTAGTCTATCGTTAAAACGATGTTTCATTACTCCCACTAATAATACTCTCATGTTTTTTGTTTGTCTCTAATTATAACTTATATATAAGTCATAACACAATAAAAAATATTTTTAATTAACCGTTAAATGAAGTTTTATGGGATGGGCTTTAATAGAGTGCTATTTCATTATACGCTTTAATGCTCTGACAATAGGACTCATACTTTGCTCTATAAATATGTAAACATTTTTAGCCAAATTGTCTGCAGTTTGGACCCGACGTTCACTCTTAAGATCAAATGTCAAACACGACTTCCCAACCATTATTGGGTCCCAAATGAAATTGATGTGTATTTTCCCATATTTTTACAATGTATTTAAAAGTATTCAAAATTGAGTTTCATTTGAAAGTAACTTAATTTTTAAGTTGCATTAAATTATTATTTTATTGATTGTATATCTAATTAAAGCATGAATTGAATAGCATATGAAAATATGGTAATCATTGAGCAAATATTTAACTGCATTGTTATTCGTGGCATACAATTAGTGATGCAAACTATTTAAATGAATATCGTTTACTGTAATCATATGGTAATTAAAGTAAAACAACGTATATGTAAAACAACGTCTCAATGACTCAATTCTCACATCATTTGTCTTATTTTTGGTTAAATGTTTTTCTTATTATTTGATGCAATCATTCAACAGATAATTGTTTTAACATCTCTTCAAAATCACTTTAATGTTATATTATATAAGAAGTGATGCGATAATACTGTATACGAAATGCAACAAATTAAACCCAATAATGAATTTGTGAAAATGATTACTCACTTAAGTTTTAATAAGTTTTTTAATGTTAATAAACCTCAAGGACTAACATTTTTTGTATAAAATCATAACCTGTTTATAAGTCGCGAGATTTTAAATTTAGGCTTTAATAGTGTCTTGATTTACAATTTATTAATTTATATGTCATTTCATGCCATATGTATTGGAATTGAATGCAAAATATTCGTGACAAATGTTATAATCATTTGATACTAAATAAAACTGACGTTTATTTATCATTATATCATTTTTGTATTGTTTGAATTATTGGTCGCTTACAACTCATACCTTTAATGTTTTCATTTAGAAGTAAATTGTGGCTCAAATGAAATAGCAATTCATATGTGTCTAATATATTCATTAAATATTTAGATTACATGATATAACTGTGAAGTGAAGTGTGAATTTCACAATCAATATAATCAAATTTGCTATGTTTGCACTCAATTTACATTGGTACAAAATTATGTTATATAATAAAGTAACACATTGTTGACAACTAGATTCACAGCTACTCTTTATTTTGAACACCTTTGAATTGCACTGAACTTTTTATTATTGGCAGTAATTGATCAATATCATTTTCTTATCAATACACATGATATTTCAATGACTTATTCTTATGAAAACTAATTATAAAAACAATTTTTAGATAAATATTTATATTTCTCACACCAATTATTTCTATTATTATTATTATTATCACTCGAGAGCACTATTCATCTCAAATCTAAAGCATCTTTCTATCGACACATTTAGCAAAACCTATTTCTAAACAATTTCATTGATAACGTAATCTATTTGTTTCGCACGATTTGTTCATTTCAATTGCTTTAAACTTTGAAGAATTTTAATTAAAATCATATTTAATTAAACGAATTGATGTGTAAATTAATCTAAAAACTCATTCAATTGATAGCATTTCCGGAAGAATCTCACGAAAAATGTGTCCCAAAATCAGAAGCCAGTGATATATATCTGAGTTGTGGGA